TTTTGGGATCAGGTATGTAACTCCTGTTGTTAGAAATTCTGGGCTAGTTTCCGGCCTCTCGAGGAATGTTGAGTAGCATTTCGCAAGTTGTTTGTGGGTGGAAGTAAATGCCTTTATCCAGTAATTGTGAACACCATCTGGCCCTGGAGCTCTCCAATTGGAAGACCTACCTATTGCTTTCACTACATCATCCTTAGTTATGGTCCAAGACAGCATTGCTTGTGTGGAAGTTCTAGCCTTCTCTTGCTGATACCAATGCGCTGTTCTATGTTCTCTGGGGTTGCTCCATATACCGCTCCAGAAGTGTCTTATGTCTTCTGTGTTAGGAAATGATGTTTCTCCTTGTAGTGTACGATCTGATTCTTTGCCCAAAGATTTATAAAATGCTCTCTGATTTCTATGAAATAGGATGTTTTGTTTACGACGTTGGCTGCTCTTCTTATATCTCTTCACTCTTTGAGATAAGGCTTATAGTCTCTGCTTTAGAAGGTCCAAAACTTCGACTATGGTTGGGTTTTCTTCCGATGTATATCGTCGCATTATTGTGTCCCCTTTCTTTTTCACTCTCTGGCTGTATGTCGGTTTTTGGTACTGCGTTAGGATAGCTATATCGCACCTGATATTATCTATGTTCTTGCTTAGCCTCCTTTCCCAAGCTGGCTGCCTTTTAATTCCGTTCCGACTTGTAACATCTGTAGGTCTTTGACCGTTTAGCTTTAGAACCGCGAACGCCACAGCATAGATCATGGCGTGTAGGTTCTTAAAATCTGTTTGGTCGCTAACCTCAGCAGCGATAATTCTGTCCATTTCACGTACGTGTTTAGCTGCCGTTGGGTTGCAAAATAGTTTGGGTAGCCGAGGCTTTTTTGTCGGATTTATACCGTCATAGCTCATTATAATGGCTCTAAATTCCTCCTCAAGCACTGATGGCGAATAGCTTGGCATTTCAGTCTGAGCGTCATTTGCTTGCTCTTGACTCTGCTGTGCATCATTTACCATGCCCAATTCGGTTGCTACTTCATGTCTAATTATATCTATTCTCTCCGCTGGCAATCTGCTCTTCACAAATATAGATCTGCGCTGGTCTAGGATGTTCTGCAGTGTCTTTTGTCTTAACTGGGGAAATTTTTCTGTCACTAATTTATGCAATTCAGCACCATAAGGTTCCTGTGAAGTTTGCAATTTGGTAATTCTATAGTAACAGCGAACCACGTACTCATTCATTTCTGTCATCCAAGTGGTTCTCTGCCGACTACTATGGGCTGGTAGCATGGGCTGGGGCGATGCGTCCACAGCAACATTATTACCAGCATTGACCGCTTGGTGGTGTTGTGTTAGGTCATTCAGTGAAGTATTTGTATATGTGGTGATGTTGGGGGGATTTCGCTGGATGACGACCGGGTGCGACCTTCCCCTACGCTCCCTGCCGGACGCGGACCTCGTCGCATAGCGACGAGTCCCGATTACGTCGTTACATTCCGAGGCTTCATTTTGTTCCTTCTCCATTTCTGGGTGATTTTGTTCTCTTTTTATAAGTAGGTGTAATTGTTTACCTAAAAATGTTAAAACTCAGGCGCGGAAGGGGGACAAAAAACCACGCCTGGATAAATGGAAGGTGTGCTGGCCATACTGACTATCATTCGGTGTTAATATCAGTAGCTTAACTGTTGGGTTAAGGCCAGACGTTGCGCTGCTGGCTGTACCGTCTACGTCGTTACGGTAGCGGGTTTGAAACTTTTGGCGGCAGTCCCCTTACCGGCCAGACCCCTTATTATTATCATTATTATTATTAATATTATTAATATTATTATTAATAATATTATTATTATTATCATTATTATTATTATTATTATTATTATTATTATTATTATTATTATTATTATTATTAATACTATTATTATTATTATTAATATTATTATTATTATTGTTATTATTATTATTATTAGTATTATTAAAATTACCATTATAATAATAATAATAATTATTATTATTATTGTTATTATTATTATTATTATTATTATATTGTTATTATTATTATTATTATTGTTATTATTATTATTATTATTATTATTATTATTATAATAATTATTGTTATTATAATAATAATAATAATAATTAATAATTTTTATTATTATTATAATAATAATAATTATTATTATTATTATTAATATGATTATTATTATTATTATTATTATTATTAATATATTATTATTATTAATATTATTATTATTATTATTATAATTATGATACTATTATTATTATAATTATTATTATTATTATTATCATTATAGTATATTATAATTATTATTATTTTATACTATTTTACTCCTCTGTCGAAGGTATTAATATTTCCCTCAGGCTAACCGCCAAAGTAAGAAAATAGATCTGCAGCGGTTTTTTCACCGTATCCGGTTCTCATCTCCTAACACCCTACGTACTGTCCTACATGTTCCCAGCAGTGCAGCTTTTTGCAACTGCAAGTATATTTTTGGATGGAGCTGTAGCTTTTCCAGACTCTTGTGTAGTTTCCTTGGTATCTCTCCAGTAGCTCCTATGATAACTGGTATTACAGACACATTGCCCATTTCCCACATGCGTTTTATTTCGTCGGAGAGTGGTAAATACTTTTTGATCTTTTCCGCATGGGTGGTTTGGATATTACTAGGAAGAGGCACAGCTATGTCTATTATAAACGTCGTTCTTTCTTCTTTTAGTGTGAGCACTATGTCAGGAATATTGTTGGGGATGGGCCTGTCAGTTATGATTTTACGGTTCCAGTACAGCCTAGAGGTCTCCGTTTCTATCACAGGTGGCGGCGTGTATTTATAGTAGGGCTGTGTACCAGTTTCTCCTAGATGCTTTTTAGCCAAAGCTTGATAAAGTATTTTAGCCACATCATTGCGTCTTTCAAGATATTGTTTACGAGCTAAGGGAGAGCAGACTGCTACAATATGATCTATGTGCTCATCTTTTTTCCCACATATGCGGCATCTGATATCTTCAACGTTCTCATGCATTATACGCTTTCGGTATAACTTTGTTGGGACTACCTGATCCTGGATGGAGGCTATGAAGCCCTCCGTCTCCAGGAACAGATTACCTGACTGCAACCATCCTTGGGAAGCCTTCGTGTCAATGGCGTTGTATTCTATGCGGCTCCTATACCGACCATTTAGTGGTTTGGCTGTCCATTGGCGAACCAGATCCTGCATTGGGATTATCTTTGCCTCAGGGTTGAAAGATGTTTCTGAAAGGTTTAGTGGTGACAACTTTTTATCCGTCTGTGTTATTGCTTGATGCATTCTGCTCGATGTGGCTTTTTGGAGGAAGTACTGGCCTAGATTGTCCACTTGGCGGTAATGTAGTGTAGGTATGCAAGGTATTCCTCTGCCACCCTCACTTCGTGGTAGATGGAACCGCTCTATGGAACTATGTGGGTGGTGTAAAGTAATAGAGGATAAACAAGAGCATAATATAGATTATATAGATATTTCTTATCTAGAATATCTCTGAAGTACCTGAATTTTGGAATAATACATCTCAGTCTCTTCACAAGGTACTCTGTATGGGTATCCCATTTTAAGTGTTTGTCCAAAATCACGCCTAAGTATTTTATTTTATCGGCTGACTGAATCTCTTTGAGACCACTGCTTGTATGAATTTCAAGTTTTTTAAATCGCGGTGAGAGCCTGTCGTTACAAGAAAATGCTATATAGTGTGTTTTGTTGTAATTAATTGTCAAAGTTCTTTCCGAAAAGAAATTTATAAATGTTTTGAAATCATGTTCGATTGTGGTTTTTAGTGTATGCCACTGGTTGCTTTCATAGAGAATAGCTGTATCATCCGCAAAACCGATAACTTTACCTCTAATAACAAAATGATGTAATACTCACAGGACAAATAAATAGGGGTGAATTACCCCTAAAATAAAATAATGCATGTCGCTAAACGGAATATAGAAATAGAAGATATGGGTAATAGGAAGACGTTAGCAATAGGAAAACAAAAGCATAAAATCATCAGGGACAAAGATACGGAAGGAAATTACTCCTAAAAATAAAAAATATGAATAAAAGGTAGAAATATTGAAAGGAAGTATGTACGCAAGGAAAGGTATAGGTGATGTCAGAAGGATGAATATGGATTATGAGCATGAAATCCTTTATGGTGATCTCTTAAAGCTAAGGACTTCCAGTATACAAAGAAAAAAAACCTGATATTACAGTTTTTATTTGACATGATGGTTGGGGATGGATTGTGATATATTGTGTGTGTGTTCAAGTTGTGCCACCACGCGAAACCGTTGACTCTTCGCTGAACGGGCACCCGCAAACGATGGCTAGTACTTCGGGGAATGATGAGTTATCCATCGAAATTGTTAGCATGGGCTCGCAAACCATGCTTAACAATTACATCGCCCAAAGTCAACAGAACTCCTCAAATGAGATCGATATTGAGGCAGTGTTAGCATCCATCAATCCGGACATTGATATGTCTACAACGATGAATGCTTGGCCATCGTTTGAGATCAATTTGTTGGAAGCTCAGCCAAGGCCATCCATGTCGGGAGCTACCTCAAACAGCAAGAGCCATCTGTGTCTGCCGCGATTGCGAGTGATATTGCGACACCTACATCGAAGACTTGCCGTTCACGCAACTTGAACGGGACGCGACAGAACGTTGTGTGGTGAATGAGCAACTCAATCGTGACACCTACATCGAAGAGTTGCCGTTCACGCAACTTGAACGGGACGCGACAGAACGTAGTGTTGTGAATCAACAACTCAATCGCGACACGTGGATCGAAGAGTTGGCGAACTTGATATGTAGAAATGGGACAAAAAAAACGAAACCTGCAAATAGGTCAAATCAATGTACAGCAGCTAATGTTTTTTTGTGTCAGATGCCACTAGAGAACGCGAGGTGCATAAATATATATTATATATATAAATGATTTATGTGTGAGAAACACAGTAGATACGTGCACGCCTCACAACAAAATGTTCCAATGTCCAAAATGCCAAAGGACCTTCGCGGTGAGGAAAAGTTTGTTGAGACACTGTAGAGCGAGGTGCAGCCAGGATGAGGAGCCCGCATCCAAGCGTCCATGTAATGCAACCGCTCCACGCAGCACTGCAGACAAGTGGGAATGTCCTCGATGCCGGCAAAAATTCTCGGCACGAAAAGGTTTACTGCGACATGGTAGAGAGGTCTGCACAAGCGAGAAGAGTCCACCCGAACAACAACGTGTAGAAGGTAAAGTTACAAACAACTAAGCCAAATTAAATAACTTATATTTATGAACTTATTATTACAGCTAGCATCACCCAGACCACCACAGGACTCAATACCAGACGACTGGATCCTTCAACAGCCAACGTTGCAATACCGGGACCGAGTCGAATGAGTCCAACCACCAGTAACGACTCACAGACGAGTGCGGAAAGCAGAACAATTCGCTGTGATAGTTGCAACTGTGAGGTACCGAGGAATGCACATGCAGCACATCTGAAAAGCATCAAACATAAGGCACATCTATGGACACCTTTACACAATAATGTGTCAGTATGTCGAAGTGCATTTCGGGGTAGAATAGTCAGTTATCAAATAACCGCCAGTATAGACACGTTGAACGTTACTGAATATATGAATAATCTTGAACATGACTCCATAAACGTGATTGAAAATGAATTGCATAAGCAAACAACGCTCAAAATAAATATGGAACTTTTTGGTTTATATATCTTACCAGCTAAAAGCCGACGAGAGGTGAAGTCCCACAATACAAACAATGTAATCATAACACAATCATCAAATTTAAAAGCAATCTATCATGATTTGGAAAGTAAAATAGAGCAAAAATCTGAAGATTTTGCAGAAAAAGACTCAGGGTGGGTGTTAGAAAAGACTTTATATTTAGAAATTAATATTAATAAATATAATCCTTTGAGAGCAGCATCATATTTGCCGCTTCCAAAGGAAATTAGGAACAAAAAAGCAGTACTCAATATACGTAATAACGATGAGTACTGCTTTGCATGGTCAATTGTAGCTGGTATGGTAAAACCAAAAGGTCGATCATCACTAACAACGTCATATCTACATTTTTCGAATGTTCCGGGCTTAAACTTTGCTGGAATGACATTTCCAGTCGCTCTCAAGTCAATATCAGAATGTGAAAGCGTGAATAACATATCAAGCAACGTTTATGGATTAGAAAAGGAATTCATTGATGGGAAGCCTAAATATCAGGTGCTGGGACCGTTACACTACACCGCGCAAAAACAACATACTCATCTAAACTTATTACTTATTGATGATTCAGAAGGAAACCATCATTACTGCTTAATTACCAACTTTTCAAGACTTGTTTCAAGTCAGTTGTCGCGGAATACGAGAGTAAAGCACTTTTGTGATGGGTTTTTACAATACTTTGCCTCAAAAGAAAAATTAGAAATTCACATGCGAACCTATTGCAAATATATTTCAGTTAAGGTTCCAAAATTGGAAACGAGAGTTAATCGACTTGGAAACACGGTAATGGATAATATACTAAAATGTGAACAGCATCACAAACAATTAAGGCTACCATTTTGCGTTTATACCGACTTTGAATGCATTCTAGCTCCGATAGAAAATGACTCAAGCGATTCAGAGGATGTAAGTACCATCAGAAAGTATGAACATAAACCATCCTCATTTGCTTATTACATCAAATGCTCATTTAATGATTCACTATCCAAATTGGCCACTATATAGGGGTGAGGATGCAGCAAAAATTTTTGTTGCTCGATTAGAGGCTGATCTTAAATTAATATATTATCAATATTTAACACAAAATGTAGAAATGAAAATGACTACGTACGATAAAGCTTCGTTTAATAAAGCAGAGTCATGTTTCATTTGTGAACAACCATTCACCAATACAAATATAAAAGTTAGGGATCGCTGTCATTTCACAGGGAAATATCGTGGTGCGGCGCATAGTAAATGCAATCTCAATTATAAGACTCCGAACTATATTCCAATATTTTTCCACAATCTGAAGAACTATGATGCTCATCTATTCATAAAACACTTAGCTATGAATCAAGAACAAATTAAAGTGATTCCACAATCTTTTGAAAGATATGTGTCATTTACAAAATTAGTACCGGTAGACACGTACATTTCCCAAGAGGGAAAACAAAAAACCGTATTTTTGCAAATGAGATTTGTCGATTCATATCAGTTTCTGTCGTCAAAATTAGAAACATTGGCATCCTTTTTAAGTGCAGAGCAATGTCGGACAGTACGAAAAGTGTTTCCCGAGGACGAAAGATTCTCCTACATGAGATGTAAAGGTATATTTCCCTATACATATCTTAAAACATTTGATAAATACAATAAAACATGTTTACCATCCCAGCAAGACTTTTATGACGAAATACGTGATGAACACATTGCAGACGAGGATTATGAGCGGGCACATCATGTTTGGGAAGTAATGGGGTGTAAAAATTTGGGGGAATACTCGGACTTTCACTTGACTTCGGATGTTCTTCTTTTAACAGATATCTTTGAAAATTTTAGAGATTTGTGTTTAAAAACGTACAAGCTGGATCCAGCTCACTATTTTACAGCTCCTGGGTTGAGTTGGGATGCAATGCTACCATATACTAAAGTAGAGTTAGAGCTGCTTACAGATGTGGATATGGTACATTTTTTTAAAAAGGGGATTCGTGGAGGAGTCAGCACATGTACCTCACGGAAAGTCGAGGCGAACAATAAATGTTTACCTCATTACGATCCATCAAAGGCATCATCGTACTTAATGTACCTTGATGTGCCGAACTTATATGGATATACTATGCAGCTGTACCCACCGACGGGTCATTTTGCTTGGTTGACGCAACATGAGATGGATAGGATTCAAGAAACCATTACACAAATTTCAGATACATCGGATATTGGATATGCATTAGAAGTTGATTTAACAATACCGAATGAGCTTCATGATTATTTCAATGATTTACCATTTTGTCCAGAAAATTTTAAACCACCCAACAGTCAAAGCTCAAAATTAATTCCAAATTTACACAACAAAGAGCGCTACATTATCCATTATCGTAATCTAAAACAATGTTTGAAACATGGTATTATCTTAACGAAAATTCATAGAGGTATCAAATTCACACAAGCAGCGTGGTTAAAGTCCTATATACTGTTAAACACGGTACTTAGAAATGCAGCACTGAATCCGTTTGAAAGAGATTTGTCCAAACCAATGATCAATTGTATATTTGGCAAAACGATTGAAAACATAGAGAACAGAGTCAATATCAAATTAGCGACTCAATTTGAAAAATCGAAACACAAAATAGGTGCTGAAAATTATATTAGTAAACCAACTTTTAAAGAACACAGTATATTTTCTGAAAACTTAGTAGCTATTCAAATGGAAAAAACAATGATTGATTATTGCCGTCCCACATATGTTGGATTTTGTATTTTAGATGTCTCAAAAGCGGTAATATATGACTTTTTCTATAACTTTCTGAAGCACCAATATAGTAATAAGGTGTCTTTAGCATACACGGACACTGATTCGTTAATAGTACATGTTGAAACCGATAATTTCTATGAAGACATGAAATCACACGTGCATTACTTTGACACATCCAATTATGATGCTGACAACCCACATAACATGCCTCGAACAGCGTCAGAGTTGGGTAAGATGAAAGACGAATATGGTGGCAAGGTACTGTCTGCCTTTTATGGTACAGGTCCCACAGCATACTGTATCGATGCTGTAGATCAAGTGGCTAAACGAGCTAAAGGTACATCTAAGGCGAGTGTGAAACATCAATTACATTTGTTACATTATAAAGATATTGTTGAGGAGAAACGGACATATGTGTACTGTACGATTTATGTATTTAAATCGGAGTCGCACAATATATACACAAATTATATAAGAAAAGTGACATTGACCAGTATGGATGATAAACGTTTCTTGATACCAAACTCAACAAAGACATTAGCTTGGGGTCATCAAGATATCACCTTTCATAAAATGTCGGACGGAGAGCGGTTGGAACTCTTGCTGCGCTTAATGAACGAAGCCAGTGAGTTGACTAGTGATCAGATGAAATGATCAGAAATTTGAGCTTTGTGGTGGGGACAAGAATATAAATATATGCTTCACCCACTCACCTTCTTCAGTTTTAAAGATTAGTACCAAGACATACTATTCACTGTTCATGCAATTATGTCATGTAACTGAAGAGGTGTTGAAAAAACATCTCCGACAGTTTGTGTCTCAAAATCCAGAAAAACGAGAATTTCCAGTGCTGAGTTTTGTACTGGTGGAAATTATAGTACCGACGAAGTATTCAACTGGATTGCAAATGCAGATAGTTACTACCCCGATGTGCTTTCCAGTGTAATAACAAGAAAGAAATATCTTGACTGGGTGGTACAGGAAACGCTGCAAAGTCTAAAGGATACAGGTTGTGAGGTTTTAAGCATCAAAGAATTTGGAGACCTGCTGACGAACATGCACTCCACACCATCAGCATATGAACAATACTATTTCTGTAAGTTGTTATCTGACAGTAACTATGAAGATGTAGATAAACCACATCCTGTAGAAAATATTACTAAGAGATATAAAAACACTGTATCCCATATCGATGAAACCATATGTAAAATTGCATATCTGGCTGATTGTGCATCACTGAAGAGTCTAATCGATGTGATACAGCAGCATGATATTAAATTTGTATTTGATATAGAAAATAAGATAAGACATTATACTGTATTTAAATGGTTAAAGAAAAACGTAGCTAAAGGTAACATTGGAGATAAGTCACTAGGATGGAGTTCTGGACCATGTGGTGTGAAATGGCCATCCACCAAATTTGAAGATTATGTTGCATGTTTGAGTGTCTTATGCGGTTTATCCAAAACGCAATAATTCTTGCTGTGTTGTATGACAGAAATATATCATAAATAAATGTATCTCCATGAATGGTAGTATCATTTTCCATTGCACCTGCGCCAATTTTTGAGAGGGGAGTGTTTGTGAGTGGAGGGAGTATCGACACTGTATAAAAGTAGCTACTCAGCATCACATACCAGTCTTCTACATTTCACATAGTGTTACAACATGAGTAGTGCCGGTGGTGTCAAACACGTTGCAAATGTGCAGAACGACAAAGGGGTATGATCTGTACAAAGTGGTGTAGCTCAGCCACCGTTAATTGTCATCCAGGAGCAACGCTATCATCTAAATCCATCTAAATCAAAATGGATTACTATTGGGCGAGCATATCAGTGGAGCTTCCAACCTGTACTCAATATCAAGGGTTTAAAAACCGAGGGCGTTACGTTAAATGAAGAAGACTGGTATGAAGTATCGAGTCAAGAAGGCATTATAACCAATTTTTTCTTCAATGATGATATTTTCCATCCGATCCAAGGTAACTCCTTCTGTATCAGCTTTGATAGATTTCCAGATTATCAAACCATCAAAATTGCAGATCGGTGGAGTAATGTAGTTTATTTGGGTAAAGAGACCGTATTGAAGTTATTTCAATTAGCCCCGCTGATTGCCTATACGATGAATATGTTGAAAACTCAGGAGTTCCAGGATGTACAAACCAAGCACATCGATGTGCGAGACTTCATTATGCAACACATCTCTGATTTGCCGCATTCGGAGAACATCAGGACTGCTATGGAGCTGGCATACCAATATCCAAACTTGAAAGAATTCAACAAGGCTCCAACACTGAACTTTTATTCAAATTACTTATCCTAACTATTCTCAGTATATTTGTAATAAAAATCTTATATTACGTAGAGTGTTTTATTGAAAAAAAAGTGTGCTATAGAAATCATTAGACAAAATAGAGGTACATTTATCATACAAGTAAATCACTTTTGTTAATCCACGAATTATAGCTGCTATCCAGTCCTAAGTACTTGACTAGCACTTTACTGCCTTTACGTCGAACCACTTTCTCCACAAGATCGATGTTTGGATACTTGACTTTTTGAAGCTCTTCAGCATAAAATCCACCTAGTATCTCGTCACCACGCCAATCTGCCAATAAGTATGATGTAGGATTGGTATACTGTACTTTACGAATTGTAAAAATTTCATTGGACCAATTAGGAGTGTATCCTTTAGCAAATGCTGTTCTATGTTTGCTTATGCGGACATGATCCCCAGTTTGATATTTTACACCCTTTGGATCTACCGTTTTCAAATGTGTATAAACCGTATTCAATAATCTTTTTTCTGTACGTTTGTTTACGTCTTTGGGTTTGATTCCAATTGTACTATGTTTGGTGTTATTATACCCGTCAACGACTGACGATAGGATATCTAGCCATTTGTATGATCCCTGAAGGCTGAACTGCTTCCACATGCGATTCTTTAAAGTCCGATTCACCCTTTCAACCACACTTGCTTTGGTCGATGAGTACGTGCTGTAATGATTAATTTTGTACTCTTCCAACAACTTAAATCACTATTGTAGAATTTTTTACCCAAGTCTGTTTGTAAATTTTTTGGAATTGACTGCATGTGCGACAGAATCGCCCTCATTGCAGTTGTAACATCTTTTCCGGTTTTTCGTTTGACTGGTTCTGCCCACACAAATTTACTAAAAACGTTGATGACAATTAAAATATATCGGAATCCTTTGTTCACTTTCTGATACGGAAGCATTTCTACCAAATCTGCCTGCAAGAGATCGTTAACCCCCTTCACAATAACGCGCCGACGTCTATAATTTCGGGGAGCTGGCTTATGAAGATCTTCAACAACCTGCTTTCTAAAGTCGATCATTGTTGTATCAATGGACAGCGCATTACAATATTTGCTATAAGCTGCTCTGGTCTGGGTTCTTTAGATGTGAAGAAATGGAGAATATCACCTTTCGTGAGAGGTGTGTTGTCGGTAAACCAATTGTCACTCTTACTTTTGGCGGAACTTTTATACTATCAACTATCCCAGTCACTGGAACGATATAGTCCTTGCTATTGTCGTTAAATGTGTAAAACTGCTCGCTGGATGTGGAGGAATAAATGGGTACCACACATACGCTGGATAGGTTGGATCTTAGAAAAGTACTGAAGATTGCAGCAGTGTCCGTCTTCTTTGAGCGGAGCATATGTCTTCCAAATTTATCAATCGGCATCTTGATCCTACAACTGCAGCAATGTAAATAAAGTAATTTTACGTTACAAACTCATTTTATAATTTTTTATTCACGTAACTCCTCAATTATAGACATAATCTCGTTACGATGTCCATTATTACCAGCATACTGTGAAGCTAACAACAGACGTAAACGAGCAACCAATTCATTTGGATCATCAAAATAGATGTAGTCGATTGGTTTATTTGATAAGTGGAGCATTCCTTGACCTGTATGTTTGAATGAGTGTGTTCATCGTAACTGACTCTTAGGAGGTGGAGGTTTCTCAAAGGAGCCGGATCTGAGTATGCCCTGCTGCTGATGTAAGTATGGTCGAATTATATTTAGATATTTGTAGGACGTACTACCCTGTATTTGAGTATTAGGTTCAAAATTTCTGCGATATGCATTTGTGCGACTTAGAATATCCATATACTGATCTAGATCACTCTGCTTATAACCAATTGGTTCTTTTTTGAAAAGCAGTTCATATAATCCAGGTGTGCCAGGATATGTTACATTTTCCACCACGATATTTGCTCCGTCTAGCGTAACCGGACTTTTACCGAGTTGAAACTTGTCAGAAACAATATCATATGTTAATCCATAATAACGATCAAACTCGGGCTCGTTCCCACGAATTGACTTATCAACATATTTTCGAGGTACTGGGTGAAAACCTTCAAGATACTCTTAATATGCAGGTGTATCAATTAGTTGGTGGAATTCTTGCGCCACTCGAGCCACGCTTTCATTGATTTGCTGGTTTTCTGCCTCCAACACCGTAGCATTTGGAGTAAATTCTTCAACGGTAGATACATCTTGACTGCGATTTGGCTCCGGAAGGTTTGAATATGTATCCTCGAGAAAGCTGTAGTTGACAGGTGGTAAATATCGTTGGTATACATTTTCTGATAATTGTTTATTGAATGATTGTCGTTTCTTCGGTGTGGATGTCACTGATGGGGGTGTAGATTGTTCTCTTTGATCTGCAATTCTTGTTTAGGTGCTTCAACTTTTGATAAGAGTTTTTGCAGCGGTTCTGAGATCGGCTTAAACTGTTGCTGTAATTCCCTTTCCGTTGCTGCAATATCTGATTTAAGTGTGAGATACTTTTGTTTAACCGCTTTCCTGGTTTTTGACTAGTTCTTTGGCCAGTTTTGGATCCATCTGTCTACCTTCGATGTTATATAAGTACTACCCTAAGATTTGCACAGAGTATAGTTATATATATATATATATATATATATATATTACTGTTACAAATTTATGTTGCTGCTAAAACACTTTCTATACCTGCCTCCCTGTCTTGGAGAATCTTTATCAACCACTACAAAGCTATGTGGCTCTTGCCAACACAAACTGTACAAGCTTTTAAATTCGTTGAATGACATGTCTAGGCTGATATGATCATCATAGATATGTTTCAGATTCAAATTGTCTTGAGGAAATAGTATGAGTAGGTTTATGTTATCCCTTAAATTATGTTTGGGTGCGGCAGTATACGTTTGACAAAGATAGAAACAGTCTGTATTACGATGTCGTCCAAAACTGAAATATTGTCTTATTATATCCTGATTACATGATGAAACGTCGTCAAAAATTATTACGGAGTTTGGTTTAATGTTTTCTGGTGTCGCAATGTTTGCATCTTCACTGTATTCATAATACCATATTTCGCGAAGCGGTGTTAGTAGTTCTTGTAAATATTTGTACTTGGGTTGGTACAGCGACTTGCAGTACAGATAAACGTTCTCAAATCTCAATCCATTAGGATGTGTTAACAAACTGATCATTACATTAGTTTTACCAGATCCGCTTGGAACTACAACTAACGCGCGTTTAGACGTACCATTGAATAGGTTACCATGTTTTCTAAGCGCACCTTCCTGTGCAAGTCCATCAAAATTCGTTACACGAACTTGTACGACTGATGGTTCGATCTTCATTCTGATAGCCTATAAATTGTACTGATATCAATACTTCTAGCACAGTCTACTATATATCTGAGAACCGTTACTTGCTAGAAGCATATAAAATGACTGCATTCCGTGCGAGGAGAAACAGTCACAAACCGACTTGAACCACTTGAATTGCATATCCCGAGATATAATTTCTGTGGACCTGGAACAAATTTAAAGCAACGCATTGAGAGAGGTGATACCGGAATTAATCGCTTAGACGAGGCCTGTAAGCAGCACGATCTGGTTTACGCTACCTCCAAACAAAGTGAAATTCGTCGTAAAGCCGATAACCTCTTAATTGATCACGCCCTCAAGCGGGTTGCTGCATCGGATTCATCGCTTGGTGAAAAAGTAGCTGCACTGGGTGTCTCAGCGGTCATGAAGATGAAGCAGAAATTGGGTAGTGGCATGAGTCGAAAAAAGTTTTCTTCTCGTATTCGCAAGTCACAAAGCATTTTAGGATTGCGAAAAAAACTAATAAGCGGACAAGATCTCTGTAAAAAACGACGCATCACACAAAACTCGAGACTTTACCGATACCTAAAAAAGGGGGATTTTTACCTATCCTCCTTCCCCTACTTGGTGCGCTAGGTGCACTTGGAGGTGGAGCGGCGTCAATTGCCAAAGCAGTCTCGGATGCGAAAACCAATTAGGCTCAGTTGGCTGAACAAAAACGTCACAATTTAGCGTTAGAACAATCTAAACAAGGAAAAGGGTTATATTTGGCACCTTATAAAAAAAACTGCTAAAAAAACTCCCTCGTCATGCTCTTACTAATATAGAGTTACTTCAATTGGCTAAACAACTGATAATTCCAAAATTTAGGGGGGTTTTTATGAGAGATTGTATTTGATCAAAACAACGATCTTGTAAACTTTAGAAACGAAACCATTATCATACGTTTACACTTGCGCAAAATACGTAATGGGTATTAGATACAATATTCCACATTCGGTGCTTTCCAATCGAACCTATAAAAACAAGATTCGCAGAGTTTTTTTGCTAGTACTCCACCAACCAACGTACCGTCACCTCGTCCAAATTATAGACGTCGTCTAACGATTGATAATCGTCAGTTTTTAAAGTCGTTGGAATTTCAATTGATCTAACATGAGCATTTTGAACGTGACAGAACAGCCATTACTTGACACCTCCATTACTGAAATGGAGTATCACACCTATCAACCGTACATTAATGCTAATTTGATTATAATGATGAAATTAGAATTGCTATTCAAGAACTGGATACCTTCACTTTACCGTCCCAAAGCTATCTTTACCTTGAAGGAACACTCACTAAAGCTGATGGTTCTCCATCTGAAAACTTTAAATTTGTCAATAACGCATTTAGCTTTTTGTTCCGAGAAATTCGATATGAGTTGAATGGTGTTGTTGTTGATTCTGTTCGAAACGTCGGACTCACTTCAACATTGAAAGGTTATCTTCTTACAATCAAAATGAAAGTACTAAATTACAAAATGCTGGTTGGTATCCCAAAGAATCGCACTTTTTATCAACCGGTAAATTCAACGTATGCATTCCTCTAAGCATGTGGATGGGCTTTTTTGAAGACTACCGCAAAATTATATTGAATATGAAACAGGAATTAGTACTCATACGAAGTAATGATGATATTGATGCAATTAAGG